GAAGCCTCAACGTAGGAGGATTGGTGGCGCTATCGCGGCACCTCGCGGTGGTTCTTGGCGGGGGTTACCATATAGATATATTATGAATATGTATGCATGTATGTTCTTGTGTGCGTCTGTGTGTGAATGTCTGTATGTGTGTATGTATGCATGCATGCATGCATGGATGTATGTATGTATGTATGTATATGTATAGCCATAGATGGAGACACAGATCAAGATACATAGATGTCCCGTAGAAAGGTTTGATGCACTGCTTGGGGAGTGGAATAAGGAAAAGATGTATTTCAGTTCTGAGAAACCCCCCTCCCGTCTCGAGCATCTCCGCCGTCCGGAGTTTGCAAGCATGTGGAGTTTCCAATGGCATTGTGGGAACAGGATGTTGCAACTGCACATTGGTTTCTTATCATGTTGTCGACAGTACTTCGTTCGGATAAAAAAAGCAAGGCGGGAACGCGTGAGTCTACAGTAGGACACGGATGAGTGCCCTTGCATGGATTGAGCATCAAGCAGCTTCTGGCAGGACTATACCCTGGCGGCCGTGTTTTCTGCAGTGGGCATCGCGCTTTGCACACTACCATACCTGGGGTTAGCAGCTCAATCCACCAATGTACGAGCTTGTCGCGGGACGGAGTCTGAAACAGCTTTGCCGATCACTTGTGTGTACAAGGTTTGGGCTCGGCGCACTCATTACTGTGTTGGGCATCCTCTTTTTCGTAAGGGTCTCAGCCATTCGTCCCTGATTGGGCTTTGTGGACTTACAACATCGTTTGTGAGGTCCAGGCAGGCAGAGTCCGATTTGTCTTTGACAACGAGGCGATGGTCTGTGTGGGCTGAGCCGCTTGATTTCTGCGTATCCTAGCACAGACAGTTTGCAGCAGAGCTGCAAACCATGCACTCTGATAGCCTTCCGTCTCACGGGTGCATGCACGCAGGAATCATACCGAATCCTTGTTTCTTCGAAGGCATTCGAGCTGCGCACCCTCGGTAATACAGAAGAGCTAGAGAAGCCAGGCACGGCATCGTGGTTGAGTTCAGCATTACCAGTCGGGACCACTGAGAAGATTGAGAGGAGAAAACATCGTCGTGGGTGGCCAGAATCGTTGGAAATATTCAAGTTTCGTCAACTGGGAGTTCTTTCCGAAGGCAGCACTCGATTTGCCCGTCTGATGGTAGTCAACAAAACCTTTGGTGAGCACACTGCAGGGATTGGTGGAGAAGGGCTTGCCCCCCATCCTGGTCTACTTCAAGGACAAGCAAGTTGCAAGCGCAAGTAGCAGGGAATGGACGTGCATGCCGGGACGAACCTTCAGGTAATGTGCTGTGCCTCAACAGGCACCGCACAAGAACCACTTGCGCAGCCATTCCCAAGTGATGCGAAGTGTGTCCGTTTGACACTTTGTTGAAAACCTAAACCGTCAGTTGCCAGGCTGCCTAGACAAGGTTCTTCTCGTCAAACGCATGTCGGAGCTGGGAGACCATGCCTAGCTCAACCATCCAAGACATGGCCTGAAGGATGAACCCGGCCGGGTCGACAGCGATGGGTACATGAAACGATGGGTTGAAGCAAAACCACGTTCGCGCTGACTTGCTCAGGAGACTCAGACGCCAGATACGGAATGGAGCACAGGCTCGAGTCCAACCCCGGTCTGCAGAAGAGGTAGTGACAGAGAATGCCAGGACCTGGAGCAGCTGCAAACTCAGCAGAGGCTAACTTCCAGTCCAGCCGAGCCGGGAAGTCACGAGCTTGCACGGAGGCTCTCGAGAAGGGGGCTGTGCCGGGTATGGTGCACTTCTTTCCTTGCATCTGTGATGCTCAGCCGGGAACCTAGCATGGATTTGCACTCAATCTTGTCAAGTTCAACATGATGAAGGGGTCTCCTTGAGGCAAATCAAAGCCGAGTTCGAGCGCAGAGGTTGCAAGAAGCTGTAGGCATCGGGCAGGCGCCGCGCGAAGGTCGTGTTTAGGCTTGTCTGACCATGCAATATATTTTACCAGAATTTACGCTCATATGCATCACTTGTTTCGTTTGCCGTGCAGGCTTTGTTGGCTTGCTGGAGAATCAGACATGACGAGTTCCCGCAAAAAGACACATCTGCCCGTTCGAGCTGACGCATGCTGAAGCCATGTCACTGACCGACAGACCCTACACAAAGCGCTGGCGAGGAACAAAATGCACTGCTGCAGGCATGGAGCATGGTTTGGCGTGTTTGGTAGACGATTGTTTTTGTGCCCGTAACTGACTAGGAAGTTATCAGTTTCCGGTCTAGGCTTTTGAGATTCAGAGTTTCGCCTTTCATGGTAATTGGAGGATTTCCGCGAACGGTGGTGTTGTTGGTGGATGGCATGAGATGGCAGGAGCGCTATCTATGCCACTACTTGTGTTTATGATGTCTCGGGGATGTCGGTGAGGGGGGCTAGAGTTTATTCTGGCTGCAAGATGCTGCAAGGTTTAGGGAGCTGTAAATCTCTGAACGTATTCGCGGGTGCTGGAAGTTGCTGAAAACGCCGGCGAACTTTGCGGCTTCAGGATTCACCGAAGCCTTGCTGCTTCCGGATTCGTTTCAAGGCCGCTCGAGACGTAAGACGCCTGGATTCGCGTGCCCTTTGGACTTCCTGAAGAGGAATATCAAAGCCATGGCATCCAGGTTCGCGGATGTATCATGAAGAGGTTTTCTTTCCGCATGGAAAGAGCTGTCTCATGCTAACTTTGATTCGATTTACGATCGACAGTGGGTTGAGTACCTTTCCCGCTTAACGTCGTAGTGTCGGGTGCACGTGGCAGCAATGGGAACCACATGGAGCCAAGCTTGAGTTCAATTTTCTTCCAGCCAGCAGGCCTCCTCTCAGCGTGTTTGGTTTTCTCCAGGAAGGGTCCGACGGTTCAACTTGCGGCACTGGCGGGGGAGTTCTGCATGGTTAACGTAAGCACGTTGATGATTACAATGTCAGGCGGACATCCGTTGGGTGTCACCTTGCAGCCGTCGGTGATGCTTAGTAGAATGCACTCCTCTGTCATCTACAGTACAGCTGCTGACCTTTTGATTACGTGGCGCTCAGCAGTGATGTTGACTACGCCACTATGCGCTGGTGCCCTGTGCCGTCGCACGTGGGGCTCAAATCAGCTGAAAAAGAACGCTCCTCCAATAAACCTAGAAGGTCCAGCCGTCCGCTTGCCAGAGCCTCAAGACATGCGCCCAATGGCACCGTGCGTCGGGAGCTTGTAGTTCATGGGGGTAATAAGACGCGCAAGTACCGCTGCAAGAAGCCTGCATGTTGAGCTGATGGTGATACCGTCCCTTCGACAGATGCCACGCGGGCATGTGCGTAGTCAGGTTTCTGTGCTTTGCCGCGAGGCAGCATGGACCTTTGGACAGTGCGCCGTGGGAGCTGTTTGAGGCCTATACAAGTCAGCGCTCCGAGGCGCGGGCCTCAAGTAAGAGAGCACAATACCAAATCCTGGTAGCCTTTTCGACAGCTGACTGTCATAGCGGCAGTCTGCCGAGAACATAGCTTAAATGATGTAGGCATCCTTATTTCCCAAACCTTTAGGGTTTAGTGGTTTGGGGTTTCTATGCAGAGGACGCTTATTTAGGGTTTTCAGGCTTCAGACTTCGAGATGTGCGGGGCTCAAGGCTGGCGTGAAGGGAGCAGAGTCAAGGGATTTTTGGTCCCAGTACTCGGGAGGGGCCTGACGCTGACCTATTCAGCACCATTGGACACGGCTCGACAATCCATGCACACTCCACAACAACAGGCGGAAAAAATTCACCAAACCGTGGTGGTTATTGTTCGGTTGGTCCATAGCCGGAAGGTGGTGTCCAGGGATGCTCATCGTTTGCCATCTGTACTTAGCTGGCTCGGTGCGGTTCCATTGCGGTTCCCGGATGTGGGAAGATCGGGTGCGGCGTGCCTCGCGGCAGTCTCGCGGTTGACCGTGTTGGAGTGCCTTCCAGCGACCTGCCGATGGCTAGTGTGGACCTTTTTTTTGGCAGCGCGGTTTCAGGAAGCAATTCCATGGTCGACCCTTCGGGGAGAGCCCTCTGGTTTGGCTTCCATGGTCCGTCCATGATCGCGAGCATGGAGTGGCCGGACAGACGACCCAGAGCCAGCGAGGATGAGCGAGGCTTCACGGTGAGTGAGCTTTGCATACCTCTCGAGAGTATCTTGGTCATGCTTCGGCGGGCACCGCTGGGCCCGGTGGTTTTGTTCGTCGTTTCAAAGCCAAGTCCAGTTAATTAACTAATTAAAGCAGCATTAGCACCACAACATACTCACAAATAACAAAACCGACCAACCCCACCAAAATTCGAAGCGCCAGTACAATTGACTCTTCAGCGCACCGACTTGTCCAATGCCACTAGTGCGGTTGTGGCTGTTTGTGCGGGCGCCAGGGGTTGGTTGATTCGTTGGTTGAGCAGTTGTAACATTTGACTTCCATTTGTTTGAGTGGCGGTGCTCGTGGAGTGTCATAACTGTGATATTGGAGATTTGGGGATGTTGTCGATACTTGCTTGTCCGAGTTGACAGTGTTGGAAGTGTGTGAGGTTGTTTGGACCTTGGAGTTGTTCGTCGACGATGTTGGCCAATGCGATGTTGCTGATATGGGCTGATTATTTTTGTATGTTTTGCTGTGTCTGGTGATGTTGGTTGTGTTGAGGGGTTGTGTTGGCGCCGCTCGCATGCTGGTGATCTGCAGTGCTGGTGATACTGATACTTACGCTGCTGACATGATAGCATCGGTTGGCAGTGACATGTTGTGGCTGGCGGATGGTGCTAAACCCGAACATGCTTGAAAGTTTGCCTGATGTGTTTGTTTGATGCACCACCCAAACTTCGAGCGTTTTCGACTTCAGCAACAGCGGCTAGCCATTACAACTACAACAACCAGACTCAACCTGACCTTGACGGCAAGCCTGCCCAACATCACCACGACAAGCTCTCCAAACGCCACCCAAAGACCAGCAGCCTGCACCTGCAACCGCCGGTGAAGGCAATTGGAGAATGATCCGGCGTAGACGTTAGTCCGGCAACACCCATCAAAGAAAACCAAGCGGCAATGTGGAATTTCATCACGTTGCCGTCCTGTGTCCTGGGTGACCGATGCGTTCGCTCCACCGCCATACGTCGCTGTGTGGTGTTCCTGCTGGGGTTGGGCAAATGCGCATGGTTAAGTCAATCCATGATGCGAGCGGATCGTCTTGTGCTTTGGCGACATTTGGAGGTGTGGACGTGACGGTGTGATCAGTTGGGGGGATTGTTTTAACCAAAGCCCGAAAATTGCTTTTAGTCCATGATGTTGGACGTGTTGGGATGCTTGCTGCTGTTCGTCAAGGCTTGTCATGTCAAGAACAAGGCTTTCTGCACCAATGCAGCGCACCTACACTGCTGTCGGTGGTAGGTTCCGCTATGGTGGCATCTGACACCAGTCTCTCTCTTTCTCTCTGTATCTCTCTCTCTCTCTCTCTCTCTGTGTCTCCCTCTCTCTCTCTCTTTCTCTTTCTCTTCTCTTTATCTTTGTATTTATCTTTCTCTTTCTCTTGCTTTACCCGCTCAGATGCGCTTTCTCCAGACGCTTGTGGTCCATGAAACGAAGGACGAAGGTGGCGCCGCTGGGAGCGGTTCCTATTCCATTGCCTCAGGGTTTAGGTTCAGAGTTTAGGGTTCAGGTTCTCTGACTTGTTGCAGATAATGGTGGCAGGTTTATGGATTGTGAGCTTTTCGCATCGTGTTCCTACAACGCACCAGTTTGAGGCAGTCTGCGGCAAGCCCTGCATGTCGGAGTTTGTTCGGCTTCCCGTCGAAAACATGTTGCCGCGATGTTGTTGGCTCAGAGACTTCGATCGAGTGATTATCCCGATCTTACTTTTCTCTCCTTTACCGCAATGGGCAAGCTTGCGTGCGTGCTTGCATCCGTGGTTGCGTTTGGCCAGTTCGGCTTGTCAAGCGCGGAAGAAGCATGTGGCAGCCCTGATCATGCAGCGGGTGCCGCCTTGCTTTCGGCAAGAGTGATGCGGGAGCGTGTAGCAGGCCTCAGCTCCGAAATCAATGAGTCGGTGACCGACATTCTCCGCGACACCCTGCAGCAGGATGCGAACGACACATCGAAGTTTCCTGATGCAGAAGCCAACACTACGCACAATGACAGCACTACCGGATTGGGTGGATTGTCGAAGCCCTTCGAATTCTTGTACGCGAAGGCAAGGCCTTGTCATTACTGCGGCTGTAGCACGCTCCAGGGGAATGCTCTGTGTTATTCTCATCACTGTGATCATGCTGTTTTTTTATGAGCAATCATCGTTCAGTCTCACCCGGACGCGCTCGGAACAAAAACAGATTCTCCTGACAGGTTGCCGAGCTGGAGGCGGCTGTGCAGTTGCAGAACGCGGAGATCAAGGTCTTATCAAGTCGACTTGACGAGAAGTCAGAGCAAGTGGCTGCTCTGATTGCGACTGTGCAGCTCCATGCCCAGCTGCCGGACCATGGCCAGCATGATCCTGAGCAGCTGGAGCACCACGTGGCAAGGGCAAGAGCCAGTGCACGCACTGCGCACGAGAAGCATCGCAAACAGGCTGGGCGAGCTAGGTTCTCTCTCTTTGTCAGCTTCGTATTGTCATGCTTGAGGGCCGTGAGGGTGGTTGTATTGCAGGTCTCAAACATGCAGAAGGCCGAATCCATCAAGATACTTCGAGCGGTGATGGGCAAGCATGCGCACCAGCATCGTCATGGATTTAAACATCCCCCAGATGCAAACAACATATCAGATCCCGAGCCGATGCCATCTGATGTGAAGAAGTCGCTCGAAATGCGGGCCGGCTTGATCGAACGAGGCGAGGCATCCCTGACAGGTACCGTTAGAACTGTTTTGCACAACACCCAAGCCTGCAGCCTTGTGAAAACAGAGGTGCAGGCGACACTGCGCGGGAGTTGGACACCGCCGTGTCCGCAAAGGATCCTTTCGGGGCTCTCTCGGATGCCTACAATGAAGCGACGGACCAAGTGTCTTTTGTGGCGAATACGGTAATCGACACGGTGGAAGCTGCGATGGCGATCTTGTTGAATGGCTTCGACATGAGCGCCGGTTGTCCGGACTCCAAGGCACCCTCGGCGAGCGCAGACGTGGATGGGGTGAAGATTGATTTCGGGAGGCAGCGGTGTGAGATCACTTTGGTCGGCCAGAAGGTTGAGCTTTTCGACTTCAACTTCGGAGACGCTTGGCAAAGCTGGCTGTGCTACCGCTTTTGTAGAGGTCCTTTTGTTTATCGTCCTTTGCTATACGGTTGTCTTATGTAGCTGTGTCTTGACATCCAGTGTGTTCCTGTTTTGCCCTGCTGTGCGGAATGCACAGCGCTGAGGACAAATCCTTCAAGTGGTGGGGGCCCCTGGCCACTCTTGCAAAGCTGGGTTCCGCAATCGCCGGCTGTGCCTCCGGTGGTGGCACAGATGCCCTTGTGTGCTTCGCAAAGATCTTGGGCAATACGCTTCTGAATGGTGTCCCACCATTTAGCTTCCTCGCGAAGCTTGACAAGATCATGGAAGAGTTCATTGAGGTCTTTGCCCTGATGGCCGGCAAGCTTATTGAAAAAGCTGTCGGTGACAGCACAAGCCTCATCCAAGAGGCTGTCCAAACAAAGTTCCCGGATGTCGGAGCTGCAGCTGTGGTGAAGAAATACAGCAAAAGTTTGGAGCTTCGCCTCAGCAGCCGCCACGGCCCAAAGCACACACGACCAGTTGAGGCAAAGCCATCAGCCGACGCCTCCCTACTCCAAAGCGATCGAAGTGGCACAGAATCGCTGCGCGGGGATGATGACACACCGGAGGGTGCCCTGGGCTTCGGAGCGGCAGACTATGTCCCGCAAGTGCATAAATTGATCACCCAGTTCAACGGTGTGGAAACAGACTCGGGCTCGTGCTTAGCATTTGCCCCAAGTGTTCGAAACGGACCAGGCAACACAGTTCAACCCAGGGACTGGCAGACACCTGGGCCTCAAAGCAATGTTCCACAGGAGTTCATCAAGCTAGAGCCTTGGCAGGGGCACAGATTGAGCGAATTTTACTGATACAGTGCTGGCCTTTGCTGATCTCAGTGATCTAAGGAGCCTTGGGCCGTGCCTTGCGGGAACGATTGGATGAAGCAGAACCCGGGCAAGTGGGAAGGATATTCTTTCTACACTTGGGAAGCTCCAGTGGAAAGGTGCACCACAGTGGTGTACAGTCTCTCACTTCAACCCGTGATCGCTTTTGTTGGCGGCCTTGAGTTCGACATCATGCCCGCACCCATCGCCGAGGTCACGGGGCTTGGGGTGACATGTTGTAGGCTTCAAGCAATTTACGGGGTAGGGCCGAGGTGGTTGACTCTCAGCTGCTGCCCTCCACGGACGCTTGTTCATTCTCGGTTTCTTTGAAGAGATAGAGGCAGAGACAGAGACACAGAAGGGCACAGAGAGAGAGAGAGAGAGAGAGAGAGGGCTAGGGCTAGGGGAGCTCCCCTAGTCCACAGCCCTAACGAAAGAAAGAGAGTCAAAGAGAGAGAGAGAGAGAGAATCCAACGTCTCACACCGACTGCAAAGACTCAGGACGCTGGCGTAGCGCCTGCGCGTAGGGGTGTTGGGGGGACCCCCACACCTCAAACGCCCAGCGAGCAAGCAAGCAAGCAAGAGGGAGAGAAGACAGAGACCCGCGCCTTCCAACCAGACGAGGTTCTACAGGGCACCAAGTGATGTTCTTGTTTCGCTGTTGGTTTGTAGCTATGTGTTTACTTGCCCCCACGGACTACGGCCACACAGCCGCGTACTAGTACAGCCGAGCCCATCCGGCGAAAATCCTGGATGGGGATGCGCCCTGGAGCGCGGGGAGGTGGGACTGCCACCTCCTCTTACCCCTAGCAAAGCAAAGCAAAGAGACCCGCGCTGGGGCTGCCAGCGTTCCAGCCCCAAAGCAACTCAAAGCAAAGAGAGAAAGAGAAAGAGAGAGAAAGAAAGTGGTCAGCAAGCAGAGGGAACAAGACGCCGCACTAGTGAGAGAGGGGATGCTGAGAGCCATAGGCGCCGTAGACTGCACGCTGCACCCTGAACCTCGTAAACCGCGTAGGGGGCTTACTTGTGCCTTTGGAGCACTTCAGAAGCTAGTAGTCACTGTGGTAACTGTGATCACAGCGTCATGGTCGTGCCGGGACCTCAGCTGAGTTTTTGACTTGTCAGCGGCAGTTGCCGGTCGACCAAACTAGGGGGTATCTTTGCAGCGACCAGGGGGCCTTGACTTGTGATTGTTGTTGGGGGACGGGAAGACCGGATGCCTTGCCACACTGTACAGTTTTTGCAAGCACAGTGCAGTCCAGAAGCATGTGGGGTAGGGACCATGCAGAGTATTGTTGTGTGTAAAGCGTGTTGGGGGACAGGGACTGCCAGTGCCCATCGGTTGTGCGAGCAGCAATACGCTGCCGGAGGGCACACAGATCAAGCAAAAGCCTTAGACAACATGGTGAAGTTCTAAGTACAGGGGGGGTTTCACAGTTGCTGTCCATCGGCCTCAGCTTGTCAGTAGCCGACTCCAAAGACGAAGGACCAGGGCGCGTCCGCGCGCGAGGAGAGCGCGTGCTCTCCTTTGGCTGTGCAGAAGAAGAAAAAGAGAGAGAGAGAGAGAGAGAGAGAGAGAACAAACCGTAGCCATTTTGGCTCAAGCCGCGAGTGCTCAAGGTCCGAGCCTGTGAGAGAGAGAGGACCTCAACCCGGGCGACCTGAGGAGGGAGCGTGTGAGTGCTTCCCGCCATAATCCACACCGGCAAGTCCGCAGCACTACGCGTCTACCTCGTGCGCTCTCGGGGGCAGCGAGATAGTCGGGGACAGTCCTGGAGGGCACCGGCGCCTGGAGGCGAGAGGGGGACAGTGACACCCGCTACCACATCCATATCGGCGGCCCTACGCCTTCCGAACACCTTCGGCCTCTTTCGCCGCACCAACCAGGCTGGGTGAGGGACTACCTGACCCGGACGATCGTGACTTGGGCAGCGACACCGAGAGTGAGAAGCTCGAACTATGTTGGGAGGAGGAGAACCTTTCCAGGGGCGACAAAGCATGGCAGTGGATCCAACCTCACCCGGGGGACTCTCGGCGGCCCTCACGACAACCTCTGATGGGCCCAGCCTGCTAGACATGAGCCCCCAAAAACAACGACGCACAGACCAGCCACAACTCACCCTGGACGCGATCAGAGACCTTTTCAGAGGAGAGCTCCAGAACGCAGTGGGGCAAGTGAACGAGAGAGCGGGCACCTTCGAGCAGAATGTCACCCACCAGTTTGCAGAAACATTCCAGAGATTGGCCAGGGTGGAACACGAGACCGAGCACACCAAAGAAAAAGTGGCAGGAGTGGAGAACCAGATGGACACTTTGGCTGCTCGGGTGACCCGGCTTGAACAAGCAGGACCTCCTGACGGGCACGCCCCGGGACCCGACACCAGACCGCCAGCGCTCATCATTGGAGGCTGGCACCCGGACACGGAGGCGGACAAGGTCATAGACCATGCCAACAAGCTTGTGGCGGAACTCAGGTTGGACCTGGATATGCGGGGCACCTTCGTACCCGGGGTGAGGCGGGGATACGCGATCGTCCCGCTGACCCGCAAGGACGGCGAGACACAAGAAGGACAGCGAACCAGGGTCCAGCATTGCATAAGACAGGTGCGCAACGCCAACGTGACCATCAGCACCAGACTCAGCGGGGAACCCTCCAAACTCTTTCTCAATGTCTCGCAACCACCCGAGAAGCGGAGGAAAGTGCAGGTCGCAGCCAAGTGCAAGCGACTATTGATGGAGCTGGAGGCACTCTCTTCGGACGTGGAGACGGAGTACTCTACAGGTCAAGTGTGGTTCAAGTCCAAGAAGGTGGCATCGGCCACCAACCACATGGCGCCCCAGGGCACCACCCAAACGGGTTCAGAGGGGTGGATCGACCTGCAGACCATCGCCACCAAGCTGCATCGCAACCTAGAGGCAGTTCAAGCGGCGTGGCAGCCGCTCGGGGCAGTCCTCAGGTGATTTCGGCAGGAGGCCCAGAACCTGGGCACACAGTTTCACGACAAGCTGGTGCATGACGATGAATTCACACCCTTGATGTGTACGTGGAACCTGGGAGGAATGACACCACCTAAGGTGCTGACCTTCCTCGACAATTTCAGGGGACACGCGCAACTGAGTCGAGTTGTCCTTGTCTACATCCAGGAAATCATCGTGGAAGTGGGCAGGTTCTTTGACGACAACGGCAGCTGGACACTCCTTGCGGGAAAAAAGGCCGGCGAATGGCGGGGGACAGCAGTAGCTTTCAAATCCACCTTTGCGCACAGTTCGGGTACAGTGCATAATCGCGCTTGCTCAGTGGTTCTCTCCGACGGCAAGAACACTATGGGGGTGATAAGTGGGCACATACCGCACCATGCCACAGTGGAGGAAACCCAGCAAATCTTGGGGGACTGGGGGGACAGCAAAGCGGTGAGCCAGCACAAGTTGATCGTGGGCATGGACGCGAATGAAGTTTTCTACTATTCGGAGAACACGCCTGGTTTCCCCAAGGGCAACACGGCGAGAGGCGAGGTGATACTCCAATGGCTGGCGGAGCACTCGCTCCTCTTCCCGTCGCAAGAGCTTCACAAACCCACGCACTACCCATACTCGGGGCAAACCCCGCGACGCCTCGACTACTTGGTCATCAGGAAGTACCACATGCAGGAAGGGGAGGTCGGGGAACACAGAGAGCGAGCCTTCTCGGACCACGAGCCGGTATTTGGCAGCCTTCCCCCGACACGACCCCCTCGTCGCACTGCACAACACTGGGGTCCTCGTCACCTTAAACAAGGCTTTCGAGATTGTCTTGACGAACCACAACCTCACGGCGACCCTCACCACCAAGTGGCCGCAATGGCGATGCAGATGACGAACCCGGGAAGAGACATGGAAAAGTACAAGGAAAGCGCAAACCTCAGACGAGCGAGAAGGGAGGCACAAGTGACGCCACCGGGACCAGATCGAAAAGCTGCTTGGAAGCGGGTACAAGCCCTCGCAAACGCGGAGAAGAAGCTGTGGCACACCAAGTTGCACGAGGCAGCCAGCAAACGAGATTGGCGGGCGTACCGAGCCCACAAGCAACTCCTTCGCACACGCGAATGGGAGCACTACCTGCTGGACGATACCAACTGGCAGGGGGCACTCAAAACGCACTTCGAGGGCATCTTCAAGAAGGAAGAGGCGGACACTGTGGCGAGGCACCTGGCCACCAGGAAGGACCAGCTCGCGCGCGCTTGCAAAACTACCAGGTGGATCCCCTTCACCATTGAAGAGCTTCAGGTGACGCAAGCCAAGTGGCCGCGCCGCAAGGCGGCGGGCCCCGATGGGATAGTCCACGAGGCACTCTTTTTCCTCATGCAGGACGACTTGTGGGCCCATCGCATCTTGTACATCCTCAACGATGCACTCTATCGGGGTACCCTCCCAGAGCTTCTCGAGAAAGGAGTAACCATCCTCCTACCCAAAACCCCCACACCAGCCACCTGGTCAGACACGAGACCCATCACCATATCGTCCTCGATGCTCAAATGGCTCGCGCAGCTTTTGCTTCGGCGCACACAACACCTACTGGCGCCGCTTTGCAAACTTCAGTGGTGCGCAAAAAACAGGCAGTCAGTGGAGATGCTGTTGGCCATCCGGAAAATAGCGGGGATGGCACGCGACTGGGGCGGACCCTTCATCATCGTGAAACTCGATGTGAAGAAGGCGTTCGACACGGCCTCGCAATGCAGTATGGGTGACCTAGTCGCGGACCACATCGGGGCACAAGGCCACCCGTGGGAGGCGAGAGTGTGGCTTTCTCTGCTCCACGCCAAGGGCATGGACGTTCAGTTTGGAGGCACCGACGTCTTCATCACCCAGACGAACGGAGTACGGCAGGGAGGACCGGACTCGCCCGTCGTTTTCTCCGCGCTCATCGGGGACACCTTGCTGAAGACTGCCCAGAAAGTTACCGCAGACCCCAGAGGCCCCGATTCTCGACTACCACCTCCACCACACCACACCGCCGGGTACATGGATGACGTGTACGTGTGGGGAGAAAACCCACGACACGTCCAAGAGATCTTGACCGTGCTGGAAAGCATCCTCGCGGAGCACGGCCTCTACATCAACCACCTTAAGACCTGCGCCATCGCCAACAAAGGGCAGCACACGCTGCGCATAGCGGGGCACGCGGTTGAGACGCAAGGACCCAACCACCCTATTATGGTGCTTGGATCACCAGTCTCCTTCGCCGGGGGACCCGCTTTCCTCACAGCGGAACTTGCCACACGAGCGAGGAAGGCCTTCTACGGGAACAAGAAGACACTGTGCGCCAAGACGAAGCTGGCCAGCAGGATCAAAGCGCACAACGTGATAGTGAGAGAGGCAGCACTTTGGGGGGCACCCACGTGGCCGATCCACGACTCCTTGCTCCGCGCGGCGAACACGACTCAGCTCCAGCACATCAGGATCATGATGGATCTCCGCCGGAGGCCAGGGGAACCCTGGCACGAATGGAACACCAGGACCCTGAGAGCGGCAAGGGTCACCCTTCACAAGCTCGAAATCCCAAGATGGAGCACGAGAGCACTTGAGGCGATCTGGAACTTGTGGGGGCACGTCGGCAGAGCGGCCGACACCACTACGAGAGACATCCTGGCATGGAGGGGCATGCAGTTCTGGGCTGAAGAACAGCTCAAACCGAGCAGCATCGGGGCCCGACACGCTGGGAGGTACAATCCCAACCTGGACACGGAGAGACACATCACAGCAACAGCGGGGAACACAAGATGGTGGGAGGTGGCACAAGACAGAGAGCAGTGGCAAAGGTTGGGCACGCAGTTTGTCGAGAAACACGACGTGCCATGGAGCAGCGGCAGACAACCAGCGCTCGACAACCTGGCACCCAACAGAAGGGCACCCGCACGACGACCGCAGCGGCGAGCCATCACGCATGATGGTCGCAGGGGGACCGGACAGTGAACCTCGCAGCAGCGGGGCACGACAGACGGGACATACCCCTTCCCCCCGCCTCGACTCTCCACACCACTGCTACACCGTCTGTGTTACTGCAACCAGCCACAACACCACAGAAGTGAGAGAGCGAGAGAGAGAGACTTGTTTGCCTGCATTCATTTCCAGTCATGTTTGTTTTGCAAGTGACTACCTGTGCCAGTGCAGAAGCCGTACCACCCGCCGGCAGCTCAACTCAGCTCAAGCGTGTAAGCAACTCGGCCAGCAGCATGAAGATGCTCTTTGTAGCACTTGCGTGGCTGGGGTACACCCTGTTCTGCAGAGGGGCTCCTTATGGAGTCACCAGGATGGGAAAGCCTGGAGAACAGGCCGAAGAGCGAGGTGGAGAACAAGGGCCACCGAGACCACGGCAGCCAGGCAGCACCAGGACAGCAGACCAGCTCGACACGCCTGCCAACCCTACCAACCTCACTCCCAACGTGGAGGAGGACGAAGGAAGTAACCAACCACCGCCGGAGGGGGACATCCCCTTCACGAGACTTCGAGCCTCCCCTTCAGCAGCAGCCTCCACCAGCGGAGAGGCACAAGAGGAGGAGCAGACGCCACAAGCGAGCACACCCAACGAAGGAGGC